GCTGTCGCTCGTAGTGGTGGTGGGGCTGGTGGTGGAGCGAGTGGGTCGGGTGGTAGTGCGAGTGCGCGTGCGCGTGCGGGTGGTGGGCGGCGGCGTGGTGGTGGTGGTGGTGGTGATTGTGCTGGTTGAGCGGGTGCGAGTGGGCGTGAGCGTAGGGCGACGAGGGGGTATCCTGGCGCGGCTGCGAGGGCGAGTAGGGATGCGGGAGCGGGAGCGAGTGCAGGTGCGGGATCGAGGCCGAGAGGAGCGAAGGCGGGGAAGGGTGCTGCTGCAGTGACGGCGGCTGCGGCTGCTGCTGCGGCGGCGGCTGAGGGTGCGACGGCTGATGGTGTTGGTGTGGGTGGTGATGGAGAGGAGGAGGAGCGAGGGGCGGGAGGTGCTGCTGGTGCTGGTGCTGCTCGGGACCGTGGCGGATTGCGGGGTAGACCATAGTTTCAGCGGAGGCTCGAGTCGGGCAGGCAGGGCGGGCAGAGGAGCGAGGGAAGCCAAGCCAGCCAACACAAACGAGGATGCCGTCGATTGGACGCTAGACACCACCGGTACCGATACCGGCGGCAGGCGGCGGCGGCGACGGCAGCAGGCGTAAGGCGTCGGGCGCGAGGCTGGGGACGACGTACGCCCTGCTCGGCTGGGCTGGGCTGCTTGCTTGCTTGCTTGCTTGCTTGCTTGCTTGCTTAGCTTGCTTGCTCGCCGTCGTTGGGTGGACGTGCCGGCATGTACCGACACGGATACAATGGAGGTCCGAGGCGAGGTGCGGAGCGGTAGGGTGCGGTGCGGTTGCGTTGGCTGGCGTCTGTTGGGTCTGCGAGGCAGGCCGAGTCTGCTGGGCAGAAAGGGAGAGGCGGCGAGAGAGAGACGACACGGTCGGCGAGGCGGCGACAAGATGGAGGCGGCCACCTAAAAGTTGCGTGCGGCGACAGCGGCGACCTGCCCCTTGGCCGCCGTGGCCGTGGCCGTGCGCAGGTGCCAGGTGCGGCCAATTCCGCTGGCTGGCCCTCCCATTGTACATACGTACGGTGGTACCTGCCCGTCTGGTGCCGGGGTGCGGTCCAATTGAAATCCAGTCGAGTCCACCTACTCTGGGCCGGCGGATAAATGGACGGACAGCCTCGTTTTGAATCGGATCCAATTCAAACGTGGGTGAATCTCCTGCTTGCTTGGCTTTCCAACGCGAGCTGCCTGCCCGTCGTTGGCCAGGCTGCAAGCTGTCCGGGCCGGACCGGACCGGTTCGCTCGACGCACGGATGTCGAGATCCGCAAATCTGGGCTCGTCGAGCTACGGTAGCTGCCCTGCACAGCGCTGCTCTCTCTTGGCGGCGGCTGAGCGCTTCCTTCGTCTAGCCTGCCAGGGACGTCTTCGACGCACCCTCCTGCAGGGGTTCGACACTTGGCGAGGCGCCCAGCACCAAGTGCAACCACGCACGCACGCACGCACGCACCAGGACAAACGAGCGCAGCGCTAGCCCAGCGCCCGCCACGTCGTGCAAACACACACGTCACCACCACGTACCCACACACACACAGACAGACAGACAGACAGACGGGGCCGCTCGACTCTCGCTGGATTCCATTCGAGCTCGTGCCGTCAGGGACGGGTGGGTGCTTTTGGGGTAGATACACTCCCACAGCGCGGCCGCGTCGCAAAAGGCCAACAGGCCAGCGATCGCACACCGCAGATGGGCAGAAAGAGGGGGGGCATGGCTCGTTGTCGGGAGCTGGCGTGTGACGTGTCAAGCCAGGTGGTCAAGAAACGGTCGCCTCTGGGGGGGATTGTGCGGGTCGAACAGAGAGAGAGAGAGAGAGAGAGAGAGAGAGAGAGAGAGAGAGAGAGAGAGAGAGAGAGAGTAGTGTGTGTGTGTGTGTGTGTGTGT